ACTACCTCAATCTATTCCCTGGTTTTATCAAACAAGATCTCAAACTATGTAATTAATTGCTGAATGATGATTCTAGGTGTTAAATATCAATAAAACATAATAGGAAAAAAAATCAGTTACTGCAGAAATGTGAAAATGTAGCACCAAAGAATTCTGATTACATAAGGGTAAGGAAAAAAGGACCCCAACACTTTCTATTGAAAAGTAAGTCAAATTAAAGAAATGCAAGTCTTCCTGTACAAAATGCACAAAAATATGGGGAGGATTATATCTTTAGAGAGTGAGTCTTTCAGTAACAAACAGTAATCAACAGGAAAAGTAAGTAAACCCATAAAATCAAGTAATAAATATGGGTAACATTATAACACAAAAAAATTACTAAATTATATCAACCAAAATTCTGCATTCCAGCCTTATTTCAGACTTCAACAACATTACTCAGCTGCAGCACAATTTTTGGAAGGTGAAATTGCCAATGAGTCATCTCAGTTGAAACACCAAGCTGTAACTCAGTTACTGGAGTGAAATAATAAAGCTTCATCTCAACACCTCCACATAAATAGTGCACCATTCTACTTCAACTTGTTTTTATTTCAACCTTTATCCCTTAATTCTGCAGAGTCTACTGCAAGTTACCCATAACCCTCACTGCGCTTGTGAACATGAGATGTAAGTGCATCCTCAACATAGCATACTTCCATACATTCAAGAAGTTTAAAATAAATTTTATTACCATAGCATCTGACAGTAGTAAATGCAGTGGACACAGGTAAAATGTTAACTTCAGAAGTAACATGCAGTTCACCTATGTTATAGTTTAAAAAAAACTGATAATCACTGATATCAGTTAAAAAGAAAAAAAAATTATACCACTGAAAACAGTAATAGTATGGGAAAGACAACATTCTTAGCTGCTGATGCCCAGGGCACATTTCTCACAAGGTTCAGATGACCTACATTTACTGCATCAATTCTCAGTTCTATGTAATAAAGAATGTAATAAAACATGACTGAATGGATAAAAGCAGAAGAACTTCTACAGGATTATAAAATAATACTCATCCTGCCAATAAATCTAAATGCAAATTATCAATACAGTTTTCTAAGTATATTGTAGATTGATCACCTTTCTGATACACCTTTGTCGCTACCTAAAAAGACAGATCTATTTCTGTAACAGCAGAACCATTGAGGGTTACTTTAAATCATAGCCTGTTTAGGGAAACACAGAGTTTCCTTACAGTGTAACACTTTATAAATGTCACTTGATTTTTTGATGGATAAAACCAGAAACATGTTTATTGGTAACTAACAGCTCACATTCATTTTTTTCAGATTCACAGCCTAAAGCCTTGAGCCATTCTTGCTTTAATAATATACTTTATAGGGCCACACTATATAGAAAGCAATCACCAAGAAACGATGAGCATTTTTACATTGCTTTTTTGTCAGAAGACCTCACAGTAACTATCTTGCAGAGCCATGTGGAACAGAGCTCTCCTTGATGGAGATTACAGTGCAGCATGAGTTGGGTTTTTATGCCACTTGCTCAGATTTCCACAGCAGGTGACATCCCACAGATGAGCACAAGATCTGTAAGGCAGTCACCTCTTCAGTCCATATTAGCAATTCCTTCCATATTTTGTTCAATGGCATCTCAACAAAGGTGATCTGTGATTCTGTCACTCCACATCTTTCAGAAAATTCCCAATGCCCTCAGGAATCAGTACCCAGGATTTAATTCCCCACCACAAATCACTGCCTTCCAGGCCTTTATACAGCAGTTCATGAAACTAATTTGGCAACTTCCTAAATTAATTTCACCAATGTATTCATTTTCTCTTCAGTGAATTGGTTGCCTGTGACGTCTGCATCTGTTAAAACATAAGCAACTAAAATATGTATCCAAGTCACTAGACAACAACAATTAACATAAGCAACTAAAATATGTATCCAAGTCACTAGACAACAACAATT